TTTTCTTCAGTGCATAAGACATCTGTGCCTTCTCCCCCAGCCTCACTTAGATACATGTGGGACAGGCCTGGGAAGACAAGTGCTTCTTTCATGGTGGATTCGGACCCAAGGTCATCCCCAAACCCCAGACTGGGCACAGGAGTGTAAGTATAACTACAAATTTTTACCAGCTGCTCCATCCAGTTTGGAAATACAGACCTATGTAGGTGTTAATATTTACTTTTTGCTTCTCTTGTGTTTATCTTTTTGTGTTTGTATTTGGCAGGGCTTATTTGTATAAACTGCACAGCTCCACTTCACCACCCAAGGTAAGGAGAACACTAGCATCCCAGTGGCCAATTCCCACATCTCAGTGGCCAATTCCCACATCCCAGTGGCCAATTCCCACCCTTTGTTTAGGAACAAATGGAAGAGACCTGGTGTGTAGTTATCTCAGCCTGCCTGCCTGTGATATTTTCACTCCTACTTGGGGTTAATGAGCTGGGAAAGCTGGGCCATTGTGTGCTGGTGGGTACAGTCATCCTTCCCTGGGCTAAATATGTTATCAGGATGGTTTCCAGTGAGTTGAGCAACTGCTTCCTTCCAACTCATGAACCACCAAGATTCATTAATTTGCTCAGACCACCTGCTTGGCTAATCTTACCACAAGCCTCTTGTTTTTGCTCCAAAGTGGTAAACAGAAAATGTTGACAGTCCCTAGATGTTGCTGTGCTGAGCCACCCCGGCGGGCTGGCAGTGGAGGAATTGCCATATAAACCAGAATGATCCCACTTCTCCACTTGCTCTGCCTGCCTGCAGAGCTGGCTGGGGTCTCTCTGCTCCCAGGATACAGTGTCAGATGCTCCATCATTGGCCATGGAAGTGCTGATGAGCCCCAAGCCGATTAGCTCCAGAAATGGAATTTGCTTCCAGCCCCCTTAAGAGGATCCTCCTGTCCCACTGATCTGCACAGCACCCAACCCTGCAACACATCTGGGGCTGCAGAAGGTGTTCCTTCCCTGGGTCACAGGTATGGTTTTTAATTACCACAGAAACCTCCAACCATCACAGCATTATGCCCTTACATCGGGATCTCACTCCTCTGCATCTGCTTCCTGAGGACACCCTGGGGAATAGGTGCTCAGTGGCAGATGAATATTTTTGGGTTTATCATCAGGTTTGCTCTTGATCTCTCCTGGAGCACAGGCCACCTTCTGTGGCTTCGGTCCTTTACCCTGGTTTGTTCATGACTTGCTGCATGGGGGACACACATCACCTCTCCCCAGCATCATGGAGTGCTGCATTTGAGGCTTCAGCCCTCAATGTTCTTCTGCCACTTTAGATGTGCAAAATGCAAAACCCAAGAGGTGGTGTCAGCAAAGCCAGCTTCACAACCCTCAAGTTAGGAATATGCAAGTGCTGGAGCTTCTCATGACATTAATGCTGATGGTCTAATGAGCCTCCCTCCATCTTCCTGTGCCAGACCTGCACACCAGTGGGGATGGTTCCCTCCATCTTCCCATGCCAGACCTGCACACCAGTGGGGATGGTTCCCTCCATCTTCCCATGCCAGACCTGCACACCAGTGGGGATGGTTCCCTCCATCTTCCCATGCCAGACCTGCACACCAGTGGGGATGGTTCCCTCCATCTTCCCATGCCAGACCTGCACACCAGTGGGGATGGTTCCCTCCATCTTCCCATGCCAGACCTGCACACCAGTGGGGATGGTTCCCTCCATCTTCCCATGCCAGACCTGCACACCAGTGGGGATGGTTCCCTCCATCTTCCCATGCCAGACCTGCACACCAGTGGGGATGGTTCCCTCCATCTTCCCATGCCAGACCTGCACACCAGTGGGGATGGTTCCCTCCATCTTCCCATGCCAGACCTGCACACCAGTGGGGATGGTTCCCTCCATCTTCCCATGCCAGACCTGCACACCAGTGGGGATGGTTCCCTCCATCTTCCCATGCCAGACCTGCACACCAGTGGGGATGGTTCCCTCCATCTTCCCATGCCAGACCTGCACACCAGTGGGGATGGTTCCCTCCATCTTCCCATGCCAGACCTGCACACCAGTGGGGATGGTTCCCTCCATCTTCCCATGCCAGACCTGCACACCAGTGGGGATGGTTCCCTCCATCTTCCCATGCCAGACCTGCACACCAGTGGGGATGGTTCCCTCCATCTTCCCATGCCAGACCTGCACACCAGTGGGGATGGTTCCCTCCATCTTCCCATGCCAGACCTGCACACCAGTGGGGATGGTTCCCTCCATCTTCCCATGCCAGACCTGCACACCAGTGGGGATGGTTCCCTCCATCTTCCCGTGCCAGACCTGCACACCAGTGGGGATGGTTCCCTCCATCTTCCCGTGCCAGACCTGCACACCAGTGGGGATGGTTCCCTCCATCTTCCCGTGCCAGACCTGCACACCAGTGGGGCAGATGGTGCATCCTCACAGCTCCTTGGGTCATCCCTCTGCACACCAGGATGGTGGGAGGACTGTTGGCACCAAGGTGAGGGGAAGGAGGCTCTTTGATGGACCATTTCTTGGGATGGAGCCGGAGGGTGAGACAGCTGGCTGGGATTTGTTGGCAGGGAATTCCATTTGTTTAATTAGTCACCAGCCCTACTGACAGCTAAAGCACCTTACGTGCAAACTCATAAGCTGGGTGACATGGACCATTTGTGCTTGGCTTACAGGAGCTGCTGGAAGCCACTGGGTGATCCTCATCTCATGGTCCTGCTGAGGGATCTGTGCTCCTGCACATGGGATTGGGCATTCCCAGTGGCTTTGGGCAGCTTTTATGTCCCCACTACTTCTTTCCCCCCCCCCCCCCCCCCAAAAAAAAGGGGATTCAGCCACATGCATCACTTTTTAAGCTGGGGAGGGGCACCAACCTGGAGTTTGTCTTTCTCCAGCACCCACCAGAGCACGCCAACACTTTGGGGAAGCAGATTCACCAAGGAAGGGGTTCAGCCCCGGGTTTGCCACGATCCCATCCCATCTCCCTCCCTCCCCACCTCCCAACACCCGAGTGCATCTCTTACCTGCTCTTCCCCAGCTGCAAAGGCCCCGGTGTCACTTGTCCCCTGAGGCACAGGCCATGCCACAGGAGGGAGGCTGGACACCCTCTTGACAGCCTTTTGCTGCTGCAGGAAGAGAAAAGAAACACACTTCACACCTTTATTTATGCTGTGTGGGTTCTGCTGGGTTATTTGCTGACCTCTTGCAGACACTTGTGCTTGGGGCAGGGGTGGGGGGAGCAGGGGGTGTCATTTCCCTCCCATTTCCTTTCGGGTCTTCGTTGGGTGTTTTAATTATCATTCCCCCAGCCCCCTTTCCCTGTCCCGGGACATCACCCCTGCCACCCACCCCTTGAATACCAGGGCCATAATAAAACGTGGGATAAATCAAAAGCCTGAAAGACAAACCCTGTAGGGGCGGCAACCCAATCCACCCCCCATCCACACCTCGCCAAAAACCCCATCCCGGGCTGGGGATCATTAAAATCCATGGGGAAACGAAGTAAAATTAAAATATCAAACCCCAACGTTTTGGGTTTTTTTTTTTTTAATTTTTATTTTTTCTCGACCTTTCCCGGCGCAAAAAGAAAAAAACACAACAAACACAAAAAAAAAAACAAACAAAAAAAACCTATTTTCCCAGCACCTTTAATTCGAGGAAACACAACAACCAGCCTCCCCCAAAAAGAAACCCAACCCCTTTGCTGTTACCCTCCGGTCCCACTAGATGGTGGTTTCCTCCAGCGGGAAAGGGAATTAAGGGGGGGGGGAGGGAGTTTTTTTTTTGGGGG